AATTTTCAAATGAATACTAACGAGACGTAAATGTGGTAATTGTATTGGTATCTACGATTCGAAACTACTCTAATGGCGTACGTAGAAATTACAAGATATAGAAAGTACAAGTAAAGGTAATAAAAAATAAAATAAAATGACATAAAATGAAATAAGATAAAATAAAATAGTTTCTATACTTGAAAACTTCAGAGAATGCGCCACAATTAATCAAGTCCGAATCTCGTTGCGGCCGTGAACGAGCTGCCGTCGCATCTCGTTCCATGATCGCAGTTGCACGAGGCTCGTCATCCCAATTACCGTGTCCCATCGAATCACGCAAAGCTGATCGCATGTTCGCGTCTCGGTTATTTACACGCTTCCTCGAGAAAGGAGCACGGGTAGACTCTCCACTCTTTTCAATGTTCGTCCGTTCGCTGATCGCGCGCGGAGGATGTCCACGCGCGCACGCGCAGGTGTAGCTCATCCGCTCGCGTTCTTGCGCGCGCTATCTCTGAGAGGTTAAGGCGTTTCAGATAAGAGAGACTGCGGAGGACGTACAGATACGATCTTACTCGCACGAGTTAGCGCACGGAACATGACGCGTACACGAGCTGATCGGAGGAATTCCAGACGATAATGCAACGGATGACGCGATCTGAAGCTTAGTCAGGCGAATTTATGTGGCTCGGTAATGGATGTTACGGGGATGGTGTTACTATTGCTTGTTGCACACGTTTGATTATACACTTGAGTATATATGGTTGATTACGTAAGAAGATGGTATATATTGGATGAAGCTTTGGGTTGTTTATATAGAGATGTAATAGAGCGGAGTTGTGGGAAAGAGAGGATGATAATGACGACAACGATTTACGATAAGCAAGTGTGCAATAAAATTAGTAAAGATTCTTTAAATTTAATGTTATTAGTATCTGGATTACATATATTCTTTAACGTTCGTATCTTTCGATAATTCTCCAAAAAATGTGCAACGAAATACACTCGCAATACGAAATAAAAAATATAACCTTACCATAGCAAGGGTTTAAAAGAGGTCAAAGATGCGCTGAATTTTACAATTTTGTTACAATCATTGGCAATACACCATAAATGAAATTTAAGAGTTCAGCAACCTGAAAAAATATTTGATTCAAAATTCGGAAAAATAATGAATATTGATTTCTACATTACTTGGAGCTACATATTTTTATAATAGCGAGCTTTATAATAACGATTCCGTTCGACGAAACATACTTTTTATTCGGCTAGTATACACGTTCGATTCAGACGATCGTGTATAATCCTATGCACTATAAATTCGAACGATTTTTCTTCCATCCAACCGGTAGAGTGGTTGTGCCATTTCCGGTCTGCAATTTATAATTACGAGATAGCCGGGAATGTACGGTGAGTCCTGGCAACTATTGCGAGTAATCGTGTTCGAACGTAATCGCTGCTCGGCACTTCATTTATTCACTACTCAATCGGAAGTCCATCGGGATCCATACGCCTTCTGACCTAGTTACCAATTCCACCAAACAGATCGGCTATGTTTTTAATTATGGTACACCTTATCGTTTATGGTAGGTGTAGTGTCGTTTCGCTGGAATGTGATACCGTTAATTGATTCTCATCCCGTGGTAGTTGAATGAAATTTCTTACGGGCGCGGGAATACGCCATGAACGCGTTCCCATCGCGCTTATGCTAATTCGAGACCAGCAGGTGTCGTGTGTGTAACATTGAAGAAAAGAAGAGTAATGTTGTCGGGGTTGCGTAATCGGTAATTTTAATCCTTCGCACTATCAGCAAAGCATTTTAGCGTTTCTTCCTAATTAATTCGATACAATGAAACCTTCATCATATGAACTAATTTCATGACCGTTTTGTTTCCACAAACAATAGGAGCCAACTAATCAGGTACTTTAAATTTCTGAGCAAGCTCTACTAAAAAGAAGAAAATCCGAGAGCCAACATTTCCAAAGAGAGATCAAATCAATTAGTCGATCAACGAGTACCTGATTCCACTCTCGAGATACTTCATTTTATCAGTCAATCGTCGATCCCAGTTACGATCCACCGCACCTAACCGCACGAACTCGCCCAACTTCTCAGAACGCCTCGCCATACAGGTTGTCCGGTAAAATTGGCGCGATCGGCCAGTGTCTGGTGTTCTACGCTTCTCTCTCTCTCTCTTTCTCTCTCTTTCTCTTGAACCGTGAACCTGTCCTTAACGTGACGCGAGTAGGTTTCCGCGTCAACGTGGACGTGGAACATTTACAATGTGGCTAGAGGCGCGCTTAATATGCGTGGGTGTTGGAGCCGCGGTGCGTGATTCAAGGCGGGTTCTCACGCGCCACTCGTGCTCGAGGGACGGCGTGGGGTACGGGGACGATCGGAACGAAGGAAAAGTGACGAAGACGCGGACGGAGGCGACGGGCACAACGGTACGTGCTCGATCGTTTAGGAATTCGCGAATGCTTTAAACGGGAGTAAAAGCGCGACCGGTACTCCGCTTCGACTTTCGTCGCGTGCTATCACGAACGCCAAGGAACAAAGGCAAAACGCACGCAATTCGCGCCGCGTATCACAATGTTCTGGGAAGCGGCACTCTCATGGTATATATTTATCGACTATTTAAAAGTTGAAAAATGGAATTTGGCCAGGAAATTCCGCTTGGTTAAATCTTTGCACATGGAACTCCAGTTATGCTGGCACGATCTTTCCCATTTCATATGAATCGTTGAAACGTGCCGTGAATTTATAAAATTATCAAGTGCGAACTTTGTATTCAAGAATATCTTCATTCTTTTTAAAGATATTCTTACGTGGTTAATTTATATAAATATCATAGATGTTAGATTTCGAACAAGATAAAACATCAAATATTGGTATATATCGTACGAAAATGATATGATAACAGGGATACGAACAATTGGCTGCTATGTTGATTTTTCCAATTCATGAAATATTTTACTCTAAAAGAAAATTTACATGATAGATATACAATGACGTACAGAAATATTGGCGATGGTAATCTTTATTTTGCGCACGATTCATATAAAAAGAATTTATTATTCTTGGTTCAGTTTTCTCGAGATAAATAAACAGCATATAGCGTTTACGCGTACAAATATGCAAGCAACATGTTCGATATAAGTTTTACCCTTTATAACATTTTGGCATTTGATATTGCGATTGTGTCACGCGAAACGAACGACTCATCTCTTACGTTTCGATAAGACGTTCAGTTCCGCGCTTAATTATCATGTATTGTGCGTTCGTTGCGAGCTCGTGGAAAGCTAACATTCCGGAATTCACTGCCATTCGAAATACCTACGAATTCGTAATATCACCGCCGCGAGACGATTTTCAACGACATTCGTTCATTATGCATCGTCATGCAGACGCCATTCCTTGCCGCAGTGAATATTTTCGATTTTTACGATCGACAAAACGCTGGAGTAACAGTTCATAGGAATGCATTAATTTTATAACTGAAAATAGTCAAGTAAAATGTTCTATAACAATTCTTGTATCGTTTGTTCCAAATGACAGGTCTGTGACCGTTCGACTGTTAGATCCTCGATTTTTGCCTGATTTGGAATTGTATTTCTTGAGTTGGTGTAGGTACACGTGGCTTTGTCTCTGGGCGCGTGACGTCATCCTTTGTTCTAAACAAATGCGCGTGTACATCATCACGTGCAATTTGCACGTGGAGATCGTACGTGCAGGAATATTTCCCTCTTCGGGAGGCATTCTTGGAAGCCAAGGCACTTCTGCCCATCACAACTAAAAAGTATTAACTTTCAAGCGGTCCGGTTTGAATAACTATTATAAGGAATGAAAATATTTTTTAATCATTACCAACAGTTATCGATAAGGAAAATTTGTTTTCATTACTTTAGAAAGGTACATTGGCTACATTCTATTATATCCAGGGTGATAGATCCCCATAAAAAAGATATCATTCGTTAGAGCATCAATAAAGAAGTATAACAACACTAGTGATCAAATTTATTTCTACTCATTTCTACTGATCCAATTCTATGAACGGAGTATAATCTATATTATCACTAATCTATGTTATCAAATAATCGGATTCATATTTTTTCGATCTGTTTACTTTCCAAGAATTCTTTCCTTATTAATTTATCCTTATCCTGCAACCGTCAGTCGCAACCGTAAGTGTAAAGAAGAACGCCATAGAAAGCTATATATACGTGGTTAGAAATGGAAACAGTTATTAGTCTGAAAGTCGCGCGCTAATCATCAGGTAGTCGACACTAGAGAAGTGTGAGAAAATCGTTTAAGAGTTGATGAAGAATAATCTCAAAAAGACGTTCTAATTACTGGAAGTATCATGAAAAGTGCTATATCTATATCATTTCACGAAGCAAGGGCAACATTAGAGGGCCATTATCTTCGTTTCCCTCGGTATAACAATGGCTACTTGGCATTCGCGTTATGCCTCTGGCTCAATATTATTCTACGCGATGGTTTCACTGACAATGAGGACATGCGTGGGATTCAATCGATGGTCAATGCGTCTTCCATTACATCCTGCCTCCTTCTCGATCCTTAAACAAATAGTACAAGATTCGTATGGATCGAACTGAGAGAAGAAGGAGATCAGATGTCTCATTTTTTAGTTTCTCGCGTTTCTTCCTTTTCCCTTCAATAATTTCAATTTGTTCGAAGAGATGTGTTTATTATATTATTTTATTCTTTCTTCTACGGAAATCATTTGCGCTAGGAATCGTACCACCACTGCCGTGAAAGTAACTTAAAGTCATCTTTTCGTATTGAATACTAAACAGTCTAGTCAATATTATAATCATATTTAATTTAAGTGTAGCGTATAATAACCTGTTTCGTTAAAATATTTCATCCTATTTTTCTTACAATCGGTGTAACATTGGTTTAAAGCATTTTGGATGCATTTGAAATCTTTACGAAAGGTAAGTACAACAAATATGGCATAGAAAAAAGACTCATGCATTGAATTTTTATGTTTTAGCAAATCTTGCAAAAGTCTTCAGTTTCGGTGGAAATCGAAGTGAGACCTAGACAATTGGTGCCAGATACTAACTGCTTTATCGACTATCTACCGCAATTACAAAATATCGCGAAAGCAATTGCTGGCGCTCAACCGATTTACACGCTTATGGTGCCACTTGTAGGTAAGTGTGTAGACTGCTCTTAATTGCTTTTTAGACCAAGTATGCCAAGTACAATTTGTGCTTAGTAAATTTTCCTACTTCTGGTATTATCAATCTTTCAGAATTTCTTAAGACTGTAAAATTTAATATCCACCGTAACTTTTACCATTTTTAATATTCATGTCAATAATTGGTGTCGCTAATATCGAATATAAAACATAATTTACGTAATTTGAGCTACGAGAAAGAGACGAAATACTTCTCCTTCAAGAAAATCTCTGAACCGGTTGATTTCGGTTTTCGCGATGGGCGAATTTTTTTTTTTTTTTTTTGAGGACAATCGACGATTATCATATACGAAGTGGAGGTGTGTAATACCATGCGAAATAAGTCGCGAAAGGAAGAAAAAGTAGAACGTATGAAATAATCGTCGATAAATAACGAGCGAGAGGTCGTGACTCGTGCCCGAGCACGCGTGTCCCAAGGTCTGTGTTCGCGGATCGAAAATAAAAGGCGGCCCGATGCGAATCGATCGGATCGAATATCGTAATCCCGACGTGTTTCTTATCTTTTTACTGCACTCTTTTTACATTTTTTTTTTTTGTCTCATGCAATTTTCTTTTTTCGTCGATGAAGATTTGGAAGATATCCTGGAATGAAAATTCTTGACACATAATTTATGATATTGTAAGATTATATTTTCTATTTATATTCGAACTACGGTAATTCCTACCGTATTTTTTCTCTGATTCCTTTTACGCGCGTCTTAACACTCTGGGGACCGGAGATGCGAATTCGCATCTTTTATGCATCATGCGGTATCCTATAAAAATTTTAACTGTTGTCAAATAAAACAGTAAAACAGTAAAACAGTAAAAAAGCAACAGATGCTACGAATGAAAGTGTTTTTTTATTACATGTTCACACGAAACAATACGAAACCGTTATCAATATATTAGATATAATATTGATTGCCTGGAAAATTCTTTTTCGCTCCAAAAAAACACGCGGGAATTTAGGCTATATGCTTGTCAGAGCAGACGGTCCCCAAAATGTAAAGAAGTATTCGTGTTCTTCGCAATCACTTCAATTGTTGAAATCTGATTAACATAAATAAGTGTACAAATATTTGAGAGAGATAAATGTTAGTTCAGTTTTTATGTCATGAGAGTAATTTTAATATGTTCTGCTTTGTTTTACCTGCTGACTGTCGTAACTTCTTCCTGTCAAAAGAAAGAGTAGAACATTTTTCTACATAAGGCTAACATAACGAAAATTGAATCTTCAAGCGAAGATAACAAGAGTAATCAGTCTCTTTACTATTATTCAATTTCTAATATAAGCAAACGTCATATTAAATCGTGTCAATTTCTGAAATATATCTTCCTCAAAATTTTCAACAGATTTTTATATTATCGATATTGAAGAGATCGCCAGAGGTTGTTCATGCAATATGTCAAAGTAATTATATTGTAATTCCACACCTTTACGTTCAAATCACCTCAATCGATTATTATACTAATCTCTGTGAAACAGTAGCAATAGTGGGTCGTTTTTCTGAGATAAAATATACTCAGGAGATTTCAAGATTATCTAAAATGGAAGGCTCACCAATCACTGTTACACGATCACAAATTAGTGATAATTGGCTCGATAATTCAGGCGAATCAATTTCGAGACATCGCGCAGTCATTATCACGAACTATTCTGTGTTTCGCCAGTAGTAGCGTTAATGTCCATTACTAAATCCTATCTAAGGAATGTTTTATAAAATTTGGTTTAATATTCTCTATTATATTTTTAATGAATTTCAAATTATTATCGAAATATTCATCCCATATGAATGGTGGGTATCATAGACTTAAATCTTTGTTGACAATTTTTAACACTTTAGTCAATATTTTATCTTATTATCCACCCCATAGATTGTCACGAACTGTGTAATACAAGTTTCAAGATACATTCACAGGTACAAGCGTTTTCATTATCTGTTTCGTTGCATTTGTAATTTAACCGATCCGCCGATGAATCGAGGAAATTGTTGCGAATCCATATCGAATTTTACACTTATATCGTAGCAAGTGAATGTCGTTGAATCTCCAATTGAAAATGTTTCGAATGGGTCGTATTTGCCGTTGAAACCACGTTTCGGTATTTTCGGCCCTCGTCTTCTGTGTATACGCCAGTAGATTATTGGATTTGAAGGGGTTCCGCTTGTTCCAAGGGGGTGGACCGGACCAGAAGAGAAGGAAGCACATAGAGGCAACGGGTCGTGACAAAAAGACACGTTTGCTTGTAGATTCTCCGAAATTTTTTGGCGGCCGAACGTCGCAGACAACAGTTTATTCGAGTAATCCGGAAGGTACAGTTCGACCCTCGTTCACTCTTTTCCCCTGATTTTTCATGAATATGGATGAAAGTTTGCTTCCTTCCTGTCGTTCTAGTCTACTCCGACAGTGGGTTAATTTATTTGGGCTTGTGGAAGAAAATGTTTCTTCGACTCGTCTTGGCGGGAGGGGGATCATTGGTTGTTGAAACTCCATTCGTGATGTTGAGGCCGCATCGGAATGGGGAAAGTATCGTAAGTGGAGTAATTTACTAGTGTCGTTACGATCTCAGAATCACATCAAGAGGTCCACAAAATCAAAGAAATTCTTCTCATTCACTTGATAATATCATCCAATTTCCAATAAAACACTCCGCGTATCAACATCCATACTTACATTAAAAAATTCTTGGGGATGCTTCTCCGAACAGTCTCTGTCAGAAGGGGCGTCATCTAAAAAAATTCTTCAGAAATCTTCTTTCAGAAATTATTGCTGAAAGAACGTTCTAGAGATGCATTGCAGAAATCTCGTTGAAAGATTTTGCCGAAAGAATTTGTTTAAAGATGTTCTTTAGGAGCTTCTCCTGCAACCGAGAATTCCTCCGATTCCTCCGAGAGGCGGATCGGAAGAAAGAAATAAGTCGATGGTGTCCGAATGAATATTTTAATCATTCTCGTGCTCGCCTTCAAAGGCGACAGTTCTCTTGCTAGTTTCTCTCTTTGGTCTTCTTTTGCCACCCGGGTGGCACGGAAAAACGAAAGTGCGCGTTCATGCAAAATCGACTGGCGCTGCCCTTTGACCCTGTCGCGCATCGCGGACAGCCACGATCCGTCTGGCCCCAACAACGGACTGCGTTCACAGTTAGGTTCTCACGGCTCATACATGAATGCATGTGTATACTGGCTGAAACAGTCGGCGATTGGCCCGACGCGACACGGCCACGTTGTTCAGCCACGATCCGTACGTGGGCGATGGCTCGTGGTCGCCGACCGATGGAGAATGCTTTTTCGATCTTTGTCCTTCCTATTGCTCTATTTGTGCTATAAATAGGGTCGTGAGAGTGACAAATGATCTGAACATCGTTATCAGAAAATAATTTTATTGAAACAGAACACGTGCTACTGAAATATAGAATATAGCCTTCTTTTTCGTTCAAGATTCCTCGCGCAACATTAGCGCCCTTAAACGCCGTTCATCGAGCCCGATTCTTCATGACAATTCGTCTCAACGAAAGTAACCAGCAATGTCAATCGATACCATCAGCTTTCCTATTTTCTCTTTTTCATGGTTAGCAGCGATCAACCCTTACATTGCTGAAGAGATGAATTGATTAATTGGAGATAGAATAAAAGTCGTTAATTGTTAATTGGCAATGAGAGAAAAATTTGCATAATTGAGAAAGGACAGAAAAGAAAATTAGTTTATTATAATGTTACAAATACTTCAATCTTCTGGAAGAAGAGATTAATGATGAAAAAGATGTTCAGGAAATTCTTGAAATTCACAGCTACGACGTTAGAAGAATTAAATTTAATAATACAAAATGATTGGGGAAAAAATTTGACCAAATTAATGGATTTATTTTATATGATTTATTTTGTATCTATCTTCATTCTTGAAGTTGCAATGTGGTCGTACTTCTCGCGAGAATTACAGATTAACTTATTTTCGTAAAAATTATCTTTTATAGTCAGTTATTAGCGCAGGCGCTGCAGGTTTCCATCTTTTATTAATCAAGTAAACATTTCCAACTTTATTAGGCAAATAAACCTGTTTGTCATTAAATGCTATTTTGATGGAAATGTATAGAAATATGTATAGGTCCTCCTGTGTCGTCGGCTCCATCGTTTCTAGTTATCTAGTAACAATCGATTGCTTTTCGTTAAATTGTTTTACAGTGTATCGAAACATTGTTGCGTTGCAGAATTTACGAAGACGTTTCTTTCTTTCATTGCTTTCATATTTTGTCGAAACAGGTCGAGAAAGCAGAACGGTAATCTGATCTCGTAAAATTACTCGGAATAAGCGGAGTTGAACAAAGCAGAATTTTTGACAAAATTCTGATACAACAAATTCTGGCACAGCAGAAGATACCTAAGATCGCGAAGGATAAGGATCACGAGGTTGAACGTTTATGGAGCAAAGGACCTTATTATTCCAATTCCTTTTCTCCGTGTATGTCTAGCCATAATTTGGATTTTTCGACATTTTCCTCTATTGTTGAAATGCGTATACAATGATCTTGCGTTTTTGGTCCCTTCTATCAAAGACGTATTTCAGCACCTGTACAATAGCATATTGAATGCTGTGTTACTTGGTCGTGCCTTCATCGTGGATAAGGTCATAACAAAGAAATCTCCGCTCAATCTGATTCCTATGGACATGATAATCCCAAAACCAGTTGCAATGTATTATGAGTTGATTGCTGACTTGATTTTGCCCAACGATGACCTGATTTGTGTTAACGTACCCGAAGGTGGCATCCCTAAATATCAGGTATCGCAGGCAAGACACGTCTATACCTCCAGACAGTTTTGATATGGTAATTGTTGAAAGTCATAATGCATACGAATGTTGTGTTACCTCGCGGCTGATCGAAGCAACACTTCAGCAAAATCGGGACGAGATGTTTGGACCTTGGGATCCACTACCCAATAGTCCAATTATCTCAGTTATGTCTCGGCAAACAGGAATCTTGTTGAATATTGTGATGTCGGGAAATTCAGCGATGCAGGACTTAATGCTATTTTGGGGCTGATTTTCCCCGATCCCAATGATACGTTGGGGTGTTTACGATGGTGTCCAAAACTGGTTATACAAGTCTCCACTCATTTGGAAAAATTAAGAGACAAATAGAGTATAAAAATCGGAAGATCGTTAAATTACATTGTATTATATATCGGAGACGAAAGAACACCGGAGCCTTTGGAATTTTGGGAAAATCCCGTAATATTGTAATCTAGAGTCTACGATAGCTGTAATTAAACAATTGTAGTCATCCAGTCCGATTGTAATTGTTCGAGATTTGTGATAATGAGCTTGGGCTCGAGGCGACAATCAGTGGTCAAACGTAGTCGCGGTCAAGGGATGAACGTTTTGTCTAACAAAGATATGGAGTAATAGTTTAGCTTCCCTTAAAAAGGAAATAGTTGTAACACTCGACAGTAAACATCCCAACGGTCTCTGTCTCGTAGCTCACCACACGCAGACCCTATTCTTCGAGTAAGATGATTGCTAGATGTCGATGCGTCTCCGCAGTACATGTTCAGCTAGCCTGAGGGCCCGTTATAAATCTTAAGATTTAGTTAACTAAAGTCCTACAAACAAACAAACAGTCTTTGTCCCAACCACGGGAAGATAGGGGAAACTTACTTTCTCACGAATGGCGGTTCCCGCCAGCAACTTCCCTTTGAGGGCGGCTAGCATCTTTTTCTAACCACCGATATGGAGATTGACCAACTAGCAGCAACGCCAATTTCCCTTACCTTCCGAACGAAGGCTTTCCTCGACGAATCCGAGGATCCCGTGTCCTTAGACACACCCTATATAGTTTTCCTCTGTGGCATCATCGGGACGGAAAGTCACTCTCTCTCTTGCGATCTCATCGACGGAAAGAGGAACGCCGTACGATCAGTGAATATTACGCGTTTTATTAACGAAGAATCAGACTTAGATTTTGTGAGCACGTACATCTATCATCCCGTTGACCGCGGATTTGTTATCAAACCTAAGGCCATTGTCACTAGTGTTGCGAGTGCCTAATCGCCGTGGTTGATTGTCAAGTCTGTGGTATCCATATTTGTGTTAATAAACCGTACCTTGTTATACCATAACGATGGCTAATTCCAATGAAGATTCATCAAACACCCACAACCCTATTCACAACGCTACCCCGACATGTATAATATATAAATTATTCCAAAATAAACTTGAAAATAAACTGAGTGAAAAAATAATAATTAAATAATAAATACCGATTCTTAATATATTCGTATCTTTCTTTTTGACGGAAAGACAGGTAAAAAGATTAGTAGGAAAATCGTCGTAAAAATAACCCAGAACCGTATCACGACATTTTTTTTTACAGAAATATTTGATTCTTTACTTATTGAGTCTTCTTTTTTGCATCGTGCTGCGAGAAACTAATTCCTTTCTCCTATTTGAGAGATCCAAATTGCTTTTTCGCGAGTTTATCAATAATTTGCGACGAGATCATTCTGTTCTTATGACCTTTGCGTCTTTACTTCGTAAGAAATCGAGAGATTCTCTCAATATTTATACACGATGTTTCCTACTAGTGGTACAACTGAAAAGGGGATGAATCTAAGTAAATATTTTTGCCTACGTATATCCATCCCTGATTAATTGGATATTGCCAATTCATGAGGTATGCATACTCTTGACTATATTAACATTTCCTACATCTTTTAATCTTTGCCATTATATCGATGCATTGTTAAAAAAGACACTCTTAAAGAACTCTAAAATTTTTAAATTGTTAAATAAAATTTTCTGAGTAAAAAAAGTAAAAAAATATTTCATTGTCCATCCCTACTATTCAATAAATCTGGTTAGTAATACGAGCGGCACGGTGATATCTGTTTTCTATCTTACTTAGGTAAAGTATTTTATCCATCATTTCTTCATTTTTCGAGATATATTGAAATATTTCAAGTTCTCCGTGTTCTTTTTTATTTTCTAAGCAAAGTTGGAAAGTTCTGAAATTTCTTTGTAGAAATCTAGAGATAGTCTTCGATCTAATTGTTTATTAGATGATTTTAATAGTTTGTAATGTCTCATATATTATGTATTAAGTTAGATAATCTTAGTTTAGATGCAGATAGAACATTTGTTAGTGTAGCAGATAAGTCACTAAGTCTTCGCCACTCTTTAATTTTTTAATGAATTTTTCTTGCTTTCACTTCCATTTTCTTTTTCTTTTTGCTACCTTTGTCACAGTTGCGCGCGGTGGGACTTTCTTCAAAAAGAGAAGCTAATATCGTTAGTTTCTATGATTTTAAATGTCTTTCATCTGTAATTCAGTGACGTTCTGTATAATATTATTATGAATGTAGATTCGTTGTTACCTACCTCTTCCTAAAATTTATTTTATCTCACTTCTTTACTTATTTATTTCGCGATACAATCAACCATTCAGAACTATTATTTAGCAGAATGAATCGTTATTTCTTCAGCAGTCTCACACATACCCGCGTCATTCAACAGCCAAGTTACCCTCGCATGACTCGACAGGAAGTTCGTTAGGGGCGTTTTCACGCAGCGGGGGTTAGGCAAGCGAAGTCCGAGTAAACACTATTAAGGTTCCTTCGTTGAAATTCTGCGTTGACGCTTGTTTTCCCTGGGCAACAGCGTCGATGAAAAAACTTTTCCCACTTCCCACGAATAGATTCATCCCTCTGTTATTCCGTCCTCCCTTTCTCGATTTTATGTATCTTGCATGCTCCCCCCTAAAGACAGAGAAACTTATAGAAACAATTGAACATAATAAAGAAAATATTGCTTTAAGATTAAGGAAATTAATCTTATAACTGTTCTCTGTTTTCTTCGTTTCTTTATACAAATGTTATTATTTCTCTAACTATACAAAAACTCAAAAATATTTTGTTTGTTGGACGAGAGAGGTTCAATGGAATATTTAAATCGCTATTTTTTTTTATTGTTATTTATACAGATGTCGATACCAACAAATTTTTTCTGATGATATAGTTTTATTATTTTTATATACAGTGAATTACCAAAATGTTTGTACATATATTGAGCAATGTGGCGGATGAAAAGAGAGTTGTGCGTTTCGTCCCGGGACTACCGGCGGACTCGTCAGTAAGGCTATGCCCGGTAGTCCCTGCCTTAGACGTAGAGGGAGTCTCGCTAGGTGCGGGCTTTGTATCA